TTTTTGCACGTGCTGTATGTCTCATAGATTATTCATGAAACTTGCCACTTTCACATCTAGTAAGACAGACAACCACACGCTTTCACATCCACACACACAGCCGATTTACACTCCCCAATTAACCTAACATGCATGTCTTTAGACTGTGGGAGGAAGCTAGAGCGGAATCCTATGCAAACCATTACTTCACACAAAAAGGCCCCGGCCAACTCCTTTTGCTGTGAGTCAACAGTGCTAATCACTATACCACCATGCTGCCCCTCATGCAACATAATTATAAGGATTAAGTGTGACTCAAGTAAACATTATATATTTGAGAAGAATGCAAAAGAGTCCACTTTGATGATGAGTAAATCATAGTCTTGTGAGACTTGCATGAAAAAATAAACATGTACTGTTAAAGACAAAAGAATATATAATATTTTTTTCCTTTTTCCATATGTGTATTGTGTTGATGAAAGGAGTGAAAAAAAAACACATTGTGTCAGTTTAGAGGCCTATAGGAGAATGTGGGAGAAGTGAAGATGAGGCAGCCTCAGGTGGCCTTCAGAGGAACTGCAGCTTTTGGCACCGTTCACTCTTCATTTTCAGACCCAGGTTGTCACTTTGTTTTAATCTGTCTTTTGTAATGGCCTGGACCTGCACTATTTAGATTTGTACACAGTGCAGATAACTCGAATGGCTGTAATGAGTAACTCATAATGAACAGAACTCCAGGCTGAATTGCCTATTTAGAATTCTAACAATGATTTTGCAAGAAGTAGAAAAAATATCTTTTTTTTTTCCTTCTCGGAGACGAAGGAGAAAGCCAGTATTATGTGGAGACTGCTCTCATCTGACTGTTCTCCGGTGGCAGTCAGTTTTATATTGCAGCTTCAATAATAAATAATAAATCTCAATAATAAATTTGACCTGCTAAAATTCCAGCTGGCACCAGCTTTTGGGGGCAGATTTTTGTATGGTGAGGCATCGATTGGTTGATCTGAAAGTATATGTGTCATCTGGAAGAAATTATTCTAAAATTAACCAGGGGCAACAGTTCAAGGCTAAATTCAGGCTTAATCAGGGCAATCTCTACGAGGATTTAGTAAGCTGTGAAAATTCAGGTGTAGCAGTCAGAATTGGAAGATAATAACGCTTCAGGTAAATTTTACTTTCCCTCTGGAAGCAAATCCAATGACTGACTCAACTCTGAAACTATGAACTATGAAACTCCTTCACTCGGTAATGTTGCTGATGCAAAAGTGTGTTTCTGAGCCAAAAGATGAATGGATGTTCTTGTGTCCTGTTGCTTGGTTTCCGTGTTAGCTATGGGTTTACAGATAATGGCCTCATAAAACGTATTTGTTCGCTTAACACCCTGAAGTGCGGTTTTCACACAGAGTGCCGAGGAACAATTTTAACAGCTAAAAGTAAAGGAAGGATGCTTTCAAAAACAGTTGAATTAGTGGATTTCATCTAATTGAGAAAAAGTAATGAAAAGAAACAACGTAAATGGATAGTAGACCAAATGCTTGTGGGTGTTTAGGCTTGTTTTTCTGCTGCAGAACGAAAGCAGTATGATCAGAGGCCTCATTGATTTGAGTGCGATGAATAAGAACGAAAAAATCTGTGCCTAAAACTTCTGCACAATTCTGTATGTTGTTGTCACATGCCCACAATACAAAACACAGCAGCACCCTAATTCTGTCACCCTGCATTTCTGTACCCGTCACTCCTGCTTCTCCTGTTGCTCTTTAAACTCTTTCCTCTCCTTGCCCTACCACTCCTTACCTCATTTTCCCAATTTTCTCCCTTGTACTCACTCACCCCCCACCTTTGCTCCCTTCTCCGTTATATCTTTTCTCGGTCCTTGTCCTTACTGAACTAGAACATTGTTGTCTTATAATACACCAAACGAAAGACAGAAGAAGAAGATCGTTTTAGACTATGTTTAAGCTGATAGGAGGGAGGCGGAGATTGTGGGTCGGGTTCTTGTCAGCACACAAACCACTATTCACTGCCTGAGGAAAAGCCTGTCACTCTTAATCTCATATTGGGTTTGGCTGCACTTCCCTGCGTTTGTGTTTTCCAGTGTGTGTGTGTTTGCTGCATGTGGAAAGTGTCTGTGTGTGCTCATATATGTGTCTCCTGTACGTCACCCTGTGGTAATCTGTGTTAAAAGAAAAAAATCTCCATATGATTTCGGGGTCATCGCATGATTTTTATTTGTCTCTATTTACCCCAAAACATATACTGTGGAACTGCATTTACCTTCAGTTTTACTGACCAGAATTCACTGTACATATCCTCGAGGCTCCAAATGTACTTTCACGTCTGTATTACAAATTACATAAATATCAGTTAGCTGTATAAACCTGGGGTTGCAGTCTCACACGCTAACACAAATTCCTGTCTAATAAGGAAACACGCACAATGTTTCTTTTAGTGTTTAAGTTTGAACACAAATCCAACAACACAAAGTAAAGTTAAAATCCAGTCCAGAGAGACTTCGAAACGAACACCACAGTGATTTTACTTTAGGAACATGTACAGGTGGAAATGAAGGCTACAATGCTACAAGCCTAGCTGCTGTTCACTGGTTTTGTCCAGTGGTTGCAGGGTTGGGATTCGCCGTTCACACAGCTAAAACATCACTCTGGCTAGCTGTGTGCGTGCATGCTGTCTGCAGGTGCTTGCAAAGAGCTGATGTTATGTTAGCAGTATGATGCAGGTAATTCTGTCTTGGACACATGTTGCATTTCGCTATTTCCTTCTTGTTCATTAATGAAAGAAAAATAAAAGTAATGCCAAAGTAATCGCCATTCCTCAGAAGTTTCAGACCCTCCACCATTGTCCTCCTCCCTGCACATGATTTGGAAACGAATGCAATGTGATAACTACTGATCTGTCACCTCTTTGTATTTTAATAGGTCGGTATAGACTTCACGGCATCCAATGGGAACCCCCGAGAACCGTCCTCCCTCCACTACATCAACCCACTGGGCAGCAACGAGTACCTCGCTGCCATTTTAGCTGTGGGACAAATCATACAGGACTATGATACGTGAGTATTTAAATCAAATCCTGTGGGGTGGTGCAATGTTTTTAGTCAGTTTAGTGCAAACATTTACATTTTGCATACGTTTCTTGCAAAGAAAGGTCGCAGTAAGGGATGAGTGAGGCTAGTTGATGTAAAGGTTTATCGTTTCACTGCTGAGATCCATAAACTGTACAGATAAGATGGACTTAGTCTCTGTATCCTCATTTTTATATATTTTTACTGCCTTGCTGAAGCGTTGAGCCTTTATAGGAATCTCGCAATAAAAAGGCAGGCCTACCCAAAATTATACCCTGCTTTATCATATATTTTACTCTAAACAGCCCCAGAATTTATAAACTAATTATCATGTTGCACTGAAGAAAATCTTGAAACTGCTGATTAAGACCACAAACTCATTACGAAGTCAAAATTAAAGTAAGCAGTGATGTCATTTTATCATGGAGCATTCAAACTCTGCTCCCAGCGGTTCATCAAAAAAATAAGAGTTTAGAGTAGCTGCGCATTGACTTTTCAGACTATGCCATGTTTATATACAGACTATGCTAATCATATTAACTTGTGAACCACAAAGAGAGTGACTGGGGTCCTTAAAAGAACAACAATGATGCATTGGTTTCAGAGCATTTTGACGAAGACATTTACATATTCCAGTTTTGAAGTTTGAGCTTCGAGCAGTTGAGGCTTTGTGGAAAGAACTAAACAGGTTTATCAGTTCCCTAATACCCATCTTAATCCCATCATCTACACAAGCGCCACTGCACAGAGCTGTAGCATGGGCATCGCTTTTGGACTTTAAACACACAAACATCTATTTGTTCTTTTACATTTTGTGTTAAAAAGAAGACAGTATAAACACCAATAGCATCTATCGACTGCTATTCCTCCTCTTTCAGTAAATAATTGTACATCAGTATGTCTGATTTTCTGTCCTGTCCTGTCTTTAATGTTTTTCTTTGTGAGAAGACATTTTTCCTCACTGCATCATTTTACCACCAGTTCTCTTCTTGCTTTTCTGTAAATGTCTTTGAATGTGTTTCTATGTGAACAAGGTAACAGGATTTTTCCTGCTATCTAAATCCAGCTTTTTGAATTTGTATGCAAAAAAAAAGGAAAAAAAAAAAAGAAGGTTTAACTAATGTTCCAATCTGTTGTCATGGTTTCCTCCTCAGTGACAAAATGTTTCCAGCTCTGGGATTTGGAGCCCAACTCCCACCAGACTGGAAGGTATGTGTGTGTTGATGGTGTTGTTGTTGTTGTTGTTGTGTGTTCCAAACACAAACGTAGGTGATACATGTATATGCATGTGGCAAAGAGAGAGGAGGGTGGGTTGTCATCAGCGGACTTACAGTTAAAGCCGAGATGTATTATTTTACACACAGACACACAGGGAGACACACAAATAAAACTATAAGCATTATAGATGCATATTCACATGATTACGCAACTGTCAACCCATCTGTGTTGCCATGGCACTGAGCTGATGAAAAGGACAAAGAAGAGAGAGCAGCACACAGAGGGATGGAGAGAGGGTGGGAGGGAGAAGGTGGGAGAAATGGACGCAATTTCTTAACAATATTGTACAGCGTAGTGAAGGATTATCATTCGATTCATTCATTTCTTTTCTCCTCAGGTGTCACATGAATTTGCCATCAACTTTAACCCAACAAACCCTTTCTGTTCAGGTGAGTTACCACACAGGAGGCTATGATGTCATCTAGACCTTTGCGGCAACCTTATAAGTATTTACAAATAGTTCTCATTTTCATTCATTTTTTTATTTACCCCATCTGAGTTCTGTCTAGTCTAGAAGTCTAGATACCCCATTTACATTTTTGGCCTTTCATACATGATATTAGTTATTTTTCAACATAAACCCATACCATAAAAACATACTTTGATATGTTTACACTTATAGGATGTTGTCATGTTTTTGGATGCAAAAAATAAAGCCACTAACTAGTTAATAGGTGTAAAACCTGTCATTTACAGATAGCTATATAATTAAGGTTATGGCAGAAAAAACACTGTGTGATTAAAAGAAACCACTAATAAAAAAAAAAACATGCCAACTCCAGATCATGTGACCGCAGCAGGTGGTGCACTCCTCTCTAAGTGCCTTGCTGAGTAAATAACTCCTTAACACATCACCTACACTTGCTACTTTGGATGCTCGTCTAAATTAGAAGTATGAACGCTAATGCACATTATGACACCAAACAGTTCAGAGCAGTGAAAACAGTCCATTCCTTCACATTTAAATATTAAAGTAACAGTGTCTAACAACTCTGACTCTGGGAATCTTTACACAGATTGATTAAATGTTACAACACTCAGGCTTCTGAACAAAAAAAATAACATAAAAAAGAGTAGTTTTTACTATTAGCCGTGGCTACACTTACGCTTTAAACACTGGACTTCAACTTGAGTGTGTTTATTGAGTATAAAGCACCATACCCGAGCAAAGCCTTACAGAGCTGCTTGCATGGCTGCAGATCCTTGTTTCTGAGTAAGAGTAAGTGCATACCCTCACCTTCATCGCACAAAGATGACTTGAAAAGATTCATAAATTGTCAGCACCTCGCTGTAATAACCTCATAGTAAGCTCTCCTTTTACTACACTGAGCTTGCATCTGCTAACACGTTTGAAATGTGTAGGATGCAAACGTATTTATTGACAATTGCAAATCAATTGAGTGCCAACTGCTAAAAGCACATCTGTGAGACCCAGAAAAAAAAATTGTGATTGTGTAACACACGTTTTAGCCTGACTGAGGCAAAGAGGTTATGTTAAATAACTCCATTTATACTCACCCCTGTGCTGAAAAAGGCCCGCGTCAGAACATGAAGTTCAGCTTGTGTTTATTTAAAAAAAAAAACTGCCTCTGCAAATGCCCTTTTCTTTTTAGGGTTAGCTTATTTTCTGGGCCAATACAGCCTCCAGTGCACTCTGAAATGAAAAATTCTAGGCCAAAGGGAAAAAAAGACTTCAGCTGTTATGCAAAACTTTATTCTTGAAACTGCAA